ATAAAAAAGTGTTGTTCATCTGTGGATTCTACACGTAGCTTACTTCGACTTCAATGCTGTTTTAATTACTGACAGTGACACGTAATGACAGGACAGTCGGTAGCTGTGTTAAGTATCACCTGATCTATGTGATGCTGACTGACTGACAAATGACTGTTACAATATCTGCAGTTGTACATCTAACAGGGTCTGGCTGTGTTGTGTACTGCTAAATCTAGTTATACCCCACACATTGTACACAAGACAAAGCATCGTTTAGTTGGTTTGTTTGTTGTTTAACGCCTCACTCAGCAATATTCCAGCTATATGGCTTCGGTCTGTAAATAATGGAGTCCGGACCAGACAGTCCAGTTATTGACATCATGAACATCGATCCACGCAATTGGGATACGATGACATGCATCAACCAAGTCAGCGAGCCTGACCACCCGATCCCGTGAGTCGCCTCTTACGATCGTTTAGTGCAGTTATGTGAACAGTTACTTACCTGGGTTGATGCAGATGGTTTGAACACCGCCTCTAAGTTTCGGATCATTGTCTTGCTGGAATACCAACCCGTCACCATACAAAACTTGTGCTGTGTGAAGGAGATGTCCCTGAAGAATATCATTGCCGATGCGAGGTAAAACAAAAAGAAGAAAATATCAGTGTACACTACACTTGTCATATTACCTTCAAATACACATAATGGTGTGGCTCCCAACACAGACAGCCAACCCCACACACCAAATTTAGGACTGTACTTTGGACGCTGGTAGTTTTTTTCTGTACCTTTGGTCCACATTTTTATACAGAATGGCTATAAGCACTCTGAACTTTCATATGAGAAGTTATGTGTCTCAAGTGAAATTTCTATGTTCCAAACACCAGTTCAAACGTCGTTCTTGCTGTTCTGGTTTTAGGAGTGGTGATGGAATTCCTCGGGATTTCTGCCAATCCATTGCATGCAAATGCGTTCTTATTGTCTCTTTAGAAACATTTACTGTTTCTCGATTAATCATTTCATGTCTAATATTTTCTGTCTTCATGCGTCTGATTTTAGACGCCAATATACCAAGTCTTACCAAGGGGGACAACTCTGGTCATACTTTACAAATATGACACGCCCACAGGCCCCTGAAGCGGGATAGTGATATTACTGAGACACTGGACCCATATATCACTATCCTGCTTCAAGAGCCTGTGGACACCATGAATGAAAGTCAGAACAAGTTCTACAGACACCCTTCCTATGGTTAATAGTGTTGATGGCCAAAACGGTAAGAAATATTCTCAGTACTTGCTGGTCAAATTATATGTGTTCAGTAAGTAATGGAAATCAGTAATCATGGATCGAATATGTGACTTCACAAGCAACATGGAACTTGAATTGGATACTGTGAATCGTGCTTTGTATGTAAAACATCGCGTATCCAATAAAATGCTATATAAAATTGAAGTTTGTTTATTTAATTTGTTTTCTTCTGGAACCCATTTTCCTACCAAATCAATCTTCCTGAGTCAAAGGAGTTAATTAACTGACTGTCAAAGTCCAGAAACTGGACTTTGACAGTCAGTTAACTCCCTTGCCTCAGGAAGATGACCTATATCTGTAATTTTCTTCCAGTCACTGCAATACTAGTGTCTCTATTAAGTCCATGATGCCTCAAAACATAATTTCGGTGTGTCAGGGAAGGTGTCCAACATTGGACCCGTAAGGTATGTATTACTTAATTCTTTCACCACAACATTAACAGGTTCAGGACACAATGCAAGGCGTAATCATGGTTCTAATATTCCTGTCTGGACCCAGGTGTAACCGTTGGTCCCATTGCTAGTATCTGACTGTTGCTCATGGTTCTACGTATGTAGTGTACAAAAAGCGGAAAAATGTAATCAATTGTTACCAAGAAGTACACAGTTATATCCAACGTCCACGAAAATCAAACAAACGATAGCACACAGCAGATAAGAACAAAAAAACATGTCAATATATTTCCAATGCTTTCTAGAGATCTGCAATGTTTTCCAATGTTTCCAATTTGGGAGATATGTAAGGAGTGTTCTAGAGATGGCGACATGCAGTTTTGAAGAAAGTAAACATATTTCAACGCAAAAGCAAACAGGTGTGCGTGCCTGTGCCTTAAAAATGACATGTACTCACACGCAAAAGAAACGCAAGTGGTTTTAAGCAAATAGGTAACAAACACGGAACCATAAGTTGATACGAGTTTTAGCATGTAGAGAAGCCTGATGGTGTTATCAATATTTTTGGTTGCATTTTGGCAGCCCCGAGTAAAAACGCAACATAAAAAACGAATCGCCAAAACTTCAATGAATATGTGGGTATCATGCACCCATTTCTCGCGAAATCGAAAATGCACGAACTGTAGTGGGTAAAAACTAGGGCCGATTCTTGGACCTACCACTCCCTGGTCAACAATGCCACGCCTAGCTCAAATTCAGAGAAACCAGGCTATCGGACGTTTGGAAGCTGGAGAGTCTGTCCAAGATGTTGCCCGTCATTTCAACGTTAACATAACCACAATTTACCGTCTCCTGCATCGATACAATGCTACACAGACCACAGATGACCTTCCTCGGAGCGGTCGTCCTAGGGTCACCACACCTCGACAAGATCGGCAGATTACCCGTCAACACCAGGGACATCCGTTCCTAAGTGCAAGTAAAAGTGCTCGACAGACCATAGGAACACCATCTTCCCGAGGCAAGGAAGTTAACTGACTTTAAAAGTCCAGTTTCCACCCTTGCCGAACTAGGCTGGAATTACTGGGCTCGATCGTTGCGCCACCAGTGGCTATTACCAATTATGTCCCTTCTAAGCCTCTCCTATGGACCAATCAGATTCCACCTCTCGTATCACTTGCGTTTGCTTCACACAAAATGGTGGCGCCCAGTCAGGACGATCTGATCGATAATCAAGATCTATATTGTGATAAAACTAAAACGGGTCTTACATCACGAAAAGCATCAAATCACGTGAGCACCTTGATTAAAAACATGAAAGGATTTGGAAAATATCTGCTGACAACGAATTGGCGATGCAAATGCTTTGCAAACCCTGCAATCGATCGAAATCTGCACGACAGTTTACGAACCGGATTTTGCTTTCGGTGCGCGATTTTGATTGGACTTAGCCTTTACTCGTTAGTCCAGACAAAACGTAACTCCATATTGCCAGCCTAGTTCGGCAAGGGTGGAAACTAGACTTTTATAGTCAGTTAACTCCTTTGCCTCGGGAAGATGTAGGAACACATAATCGACACATTAGCCGGGACACTGTGATCCGACGTCTCCGTTCCAACAACCTCAGATGCCGCCGACCAGCACGTCGTCCTGTTCTCCAACCACGGCGTCGACAAGCACGACTTCAGTGGGCACAGGGTCATCGCAATTGGCGTCATCGTGAGTGGAAGCGTGTCATCTTCTCTGATGAAAGTCGCTTTTGTGTCTCCCATGCAGACGGGAGAGTCAGAATTTGGCGGCGTCGAGGTGATCATTTCGCTGACAGAAACGTTGTGGAAAGGGATCCATGGGGTGGACCTAGCGTCATGATATGGGCAGGGATTGGACTTAATGCGAGACTTGGACCCATGTGCTTTCTGAATGTTGGTCAAGGTCGGGAACACGGCGTCACTGCTCAGCGGTATATCGACCCACGTTGTTCCATTTCTTGCACATCAACAACACATTTTCCAGCAGGACAACGCTCGTCCCCATGTTGCCAGAGCTACTATGGCCTTTCTGCAACAACAAAACATCCGTGTTCTACCGTGGCAAGCCCTCAGCCCTGATCTGAACCCCATCGAACACTTATGGGATGAGGTTCAAAGGCGTCTGCACAATGTGCGCCCAGTCCCTACAACTGCCGATAAACTACCCACAGCTGCTCTGTGTGTGTGTGCAGGAGGATCCATAGGGCCTTCACAAATCGGCTGATCCACTCAATGTACAGATGTGTGGCAGTGATCAATGCTAATGGTGGTCACACCAGGTATTGACTGACATTTTGGGTATTGACCCGAAACTGTGTAAGCCCTTTACATTTGAAAAAAACAATTATTTCATCTGCCTTTTAATCCATTAAACTATCTTCAGTCAATTGTTTGTCAATCTTGCCCTATTAGTATTTCTTGTCTTTACTGTTGAAAATAAATAACATGTATACTGCATACTCGACTTGTTTCTTTTGCGTGTGAGTATATGTTGTAAGTCTACAATGAATAAGAATTTAGAAATTATTAAAATTATGTTTCTGAAGAAATTGCACATGGAAATTCACTGTTCAAAAACGGCTGGTGTTGCTCAAATTTCGCACATTTTTTCCAAATTTGACCGTTTATGATTTCATTTTCCCTTTCTTTGACATGTCATTAAATAACTAATATATATGTCAATATCGGCACCATGGTCCAAGGCAGGCAGGCACGATATGAGAGACCCCCTCTAAGTTAATCTGCCGCCTCCGTGGTCTAGTGGTAGAGCGTCCGCCCGGAGAGCGGAAGGTCCGGGGTTCGATCCCCGGCCGCGTCATACCAAAAGAGGTTAAAAGATGGTACTTGTTGTTACCCTGTCTGGCGCTCGGCATTAAGGGGCTAAAACAAGGACTGGTCGGCTCGGAGTCAGTATACTGTGTCTGAGTGGGGTATTCATGTTAAACTGCGGCATGGTATCTCAGTGAGCTAGCACTATAAATCGGCATCAGTCCGGACTAGTACAAGCAACCACACACACACACACGTGCATGCATATATAAGTGCAATAATCTTGGACGCCATGTTAAACCCATTTCACCTCACCTCTAAGTTAATCACTTGTAATTTGGAAATGTTACTAATTTCCATATAATGTTTGAATGTTTGAACTGACACCAACATACAAAGATACTGTCATATGTGAAAAGAAAATTCTCTCAAGCAGAGTGTGTTACTACTGCAGGCTGTGCATGGGAGTCTATATATAATGCACTTTAAGATAACCGATGAACACAACACAGAATATATTAAAAGAAAAATATTTTTATTGTGAAATCAGAAAAGTTTAAAACCGTAAGCACATCATTACTAGACAGACATTGGACCTAAGCTAAGTACAGAATAATTAATAGCTACAAACGACAGGTTATGTTTTTGGATACAGTGGTAGAAACACTTTTAGTCCACAAGTCCTGATAATGATAACATATCGCAAAACCCTTAAAAATGACAAATTTCTACTGGTCCTAATGATACCTTAACTATTGGGTAGGTTGGCAAGGACTACAAGACCAGCGCCTATTTCCAACACTGGGATAGAAGACAGCCCCTGGCCGCCTAAGGACTTGTCTACCTCCTACTTTCAGAGAAGACCGAATGTCTTGAAATGCTGAAAAAAATACTGTCTCAATAAGAAAATCATAGCCACCCCCCCACCTCAAGAATCAGCATTGGAAATTGGCACTAGTCCTGTAGTCCTTGCCAAAATACCCAATAGTTATAAGGACAAGTAGAAATTTGCCATTTTCAAGGATTTTGCTATATGTTGTCACTATTAGGATTAATGGACTAAAAATGTTAGTTTCTACCGCTGGGAATACAAAATAGTTGTTACCTGATATATGTACATTGAAGCAATTACTGTGTCCCTATCAAACATTGAGAAGTATACATACAAAAATAATAATGCAGTGTGGAAAGCACTGAACTGTGACACACACTGTTGAGTGATGACATGTAGGATTCTGTCATAGACAAACAACTGAGAGTGGAGAGAAGCTGCAGAAGTATAAATATATTGAAAGCTCTTGAGGAGAAAGTTCTTAATAAGGCAAAAATAGATTCTTTGAATACCCAAAAACCTGGCATTTTAGTCATGAGAAAATTTATAATTATGAGAAAAAAGCAATCCTGTGAGACAAAATATAGACAAATAAACATGGTACTGTCATGAGAAGTGGCCAGGGAGCCCTGTTTTCTACACCGTACACTCCTTGAGGCAGGCTGAAAGTATTTCATCACAGCACACATATTAAAAGCCAATATATTTCACATAACAATCTGACCACAGTTGACATGTACAATACTGAGAAGTCTCACCTAATTACAAAAATCAAAATGAAATATGTCCAATGCAATAATTTGAATTACAGATTTCAATTGTTGAAAGAAAAAACGAATAAAATAAACCCAATGACAAACTTTGTTACTGCAATGTGACTATATGAACATTTTCTCATGTTTTTCAGTGAGTGAGTATAATTTTAAGCCGCATTTAGCAATATTCAATCAATATTCCATCAATATCACGGCGGAGGACACCGGAAAATGGGCTTCACACATTGTACAAATGTGGGGATTCAAACCCAGGTATTCGGTGTAATGAGCAAACGGTTTAACCATAAGGCCACCCCACCGCCCTCATGTTTTTCAGGGAAAGAATGCTGCACTTTCACAGTTGAAGTCTTTGCTGGAGTTGGCGGGAAGCATATAAACATAGTGCAGTTGTGAAGTTTGACATAATTTTGAGGGGGGCATAAAAAGTAACAGGCAGATCTGTTTGGTACAGGATTAAATACATATGACCCAAAACAAACATCAATTATTTGGCACAATTATTAGCTTCTCTGTTATAATATAAATGTCCTCCATGACCAACTGTTTCTTGTGCCTGAAGATTTGATCACAGTCTGATTTGTGTTATTTGTATATCAGTGTAAAATGTACATGTATTATCATATGGACAACTGGACTTCAACACCAAGTGGGAAAAACCCACTTATCACTCAGTCTCGCATATATAAAATCATAAAACATAGACAAAAAATCACATATCTCCACCACAACAGTGGTATAAAACAGCAATCATAAAAAAGTGTATTATCAGATACAGAAGAGGTTGTACATTCTGCAATACAGAGTTCATATTAATCATGTTAAAAGGTTATGGGTTAGTAATGACCCTGCCAAATATGGTAGCTGCCGTGATTTGGATAGGCCGAACCAAGGCAAAAGGTCAACTACCTCACACAGAAGCAATCTGCTGTTTGTCTTTCTATCAACCTCAACCCCAGAGGTAACAGGTCAGAGATGTCAGGTCAGAGGTGACAGGGTCAAGAGGTGACAGGTCAGAGGTGACAGGTCAAGAGGTGACAGGTCAAGAGGTGACAGGTCAGAGGTGACAGGTCAAGAGGTGACAGGTCAAGAGGTGACAAATCAGAGGTGACAGGTCAGAGGTGACAGGTCAAGAGGTGACAGATCAGAGGTGACAGGTCAAGAGGTCAGAGGTGACAGGTCAGAGGTGAGACATATGGATGATGGCACATCATGGAACATGAAAAGTATACCATGAAATCAATGAAATGAAGCGTAAAAGTATTTACAATCAATCGTCTCCTGTTCCCATGGTTGTCCTTGATGTCAACTCTGTCATGGCAGAACAATCCTTGCACAATATTGATTCATATCCCATCAATAATGATCATAAACCTACAATTGAGAACCAGAAGTTTCATGTCCTGGTGTATATACACACACTGCTGTAGAGGATACAATAGGCCATTGTTTTCAACGTGAAGGGGTAGCATTTTTTCGGCAATAGTAGGATCGTTGTCGTTGGAGTCATAAAGAAAACAGTGGAACTCACCTGAATTGTTAAGACATAATGGCGACCATGTATATAAGGGGATACAATAGGAATGGTGTGAGATATTTTAGAGACACCATAGTGAGTGAGTGAGTATGGTTTTACGCCGCTTTTAGCCATATTCCAGCAATATCACGGCGGGGGACACCAGAAATGGGCTTCACACATTGTACCCATGTCGGGAAACGAACCCGGGTCTTCGGCGTGGCGAGCAAACGCTTTAACCACTAGGCTACCAAACCGCCCCTAGAGACACCATAGAAGGGATCATTCACACAACCAGACAGATACAATACACCACGGCATCAATCTCATTAAAATCAGAATCTAAGCTCTCGCTTCCGCAAAACAAAGATCTGAGGACATCCCATTACGGGTCACGTCAGAACGACCTTTCGCAAACTTTGACCGACCTTTGAAACGAATAACCAGAAGTCGATATCAACCCCTCCTCCATTCAGATGTTTATCCCGTGGAAGCGAGACGGAATCAGTCCATAACAGAATACCCCGTGTTAACGTTTTCGAAGTTGCATGATTAGAAAACACATTCCGACTGTCACTTTTATGATCTGGTAAACGACGCTTTGATTGGTCGGATGAAAGGTCGCTCTGACGTGACCCTTAATGGGATGTCCTCAGATCTTTGTTTAGCGATTGAGATTGCCACGGCATAAGCTCACTTTTATCAACTATGACTGACAGGAAATAGTGTCGGTACATTTGTGACTAAACAAATATAATAATATATGCCTGCCAGACATTCTACAAAAGCTGATGTTAAGGAATACCACACTCAAACAGATTACCTGGTTAAACAGTAATGTTTCATCTGCTGACAGATGCAAACACAACATATATAAATTCAATAACAATTCAATAATTTTTCACGAGACCCTGATGACATTAAAATACAATTCTTCAAACAGTGATATAATGACGGGTTATTGGTTGGCACATGTTAACTAAAACCAATAAATACAATTTAAAAGTTTCCCTTAAGTACACGTTTATAATAGGTGAAAACATCATGACAGTTTTACGTCTTGACTTTCTTGTACTTGCAATCCAGATCTTGCTACTATTTCACCACACCAAACACCGCCATGATTTCACTACATAAGTGTGTAAAAATGAGACATCTTTAAAAATATGAAGATCAACTTAAAATTCGGCTGTACTGGCCTGCCATTATTTGAAGACAATTTTCAAATACTACATCATCTATCATGTCATATTGAACACAAACCATGCTCCTGGATCAGAAAGCTGTTTGCATAATATTTGACATGACCTTGACCTTGAGGTTTTTGTAATCTATTATGAAAAATACAAATTTGGTTTTCCGATGAACAGTTTTCCTGAGTTTTGTGCCATGGTTAACATTAGGATCTGTTGTGATCTTGACCTTGGATGGATGTTAAATTCCAATATCACTTTTGATTACACCCTAACAATAATGTAACTCAAGTTTGGTCATATTCCTATCATAAATACTCATGTTAACATTGTCCCATGGGTTTTAGATGCAAGCAGTGATCTTCAATCTTCACCAATCTCCATACCTGAACATTTCTAATGACGAGTATGAAGTTTCAATGCCATTTAGTCCACACTTTTGCATGAACTATATACAAGCCATTTCATGAGTGAATGATCTTTAAAGTGACCTTGACATTTGACACAACCATGACAGTGTTATAGTTTAACCTCCCAAATTGGAAAATGCCTTGATACATCATAAAATAAACCTAAATCCCTGAAGTTTGAGCCATATTTCGACATGTTACCTGTAGTGACCTTGACCTTCAGAAGGTCACCTAAACCTTTTGTTACAATCATAAATACTCAGCTATGAGGTATACTTATAGTTCATACCAAAAGACCTTGACCTTTTGTCATCAAATCACATGCTAACAACTTTCTACACGAGTCTGCATGATATATTATGTGAAATTTCATGCCTCTATTATTCGTGCATGATTGTGAAAACCAAATTCAGCAAAGGTGGTCCAAATCCAACAAACACATGAAGCTGAATGACCTGCCATACCTGCCATACAGGGTCTGTTTCATGTTATACAGACAAAGAGGTAATTACGGGGACAATACATGATACTGCTTTACAAGAGTCTTGGTCGTCATCGTGATGGACTACTTAAAACATTCAAAGTTAATTCCAAACGTTGTGCAGCCAATACCACATGTAGACTTCATGTTGGAAATGCAAGGGAACTGTTATTGTCTGAAAATTTGTCCACCGACAAGAGAAGAGCTGCAGGCATGGAAGGCACTATTGTCTTGAACCCATAAAATCAACAAATTACCATTGTCACTTTAAAGCTAGATAACATCATCATAGATAACAGATTCAATCAAATTCTACAGAATGAGATTTACAAATAACTTCTAGTTATGTTTCACCCATGGTTGGTTTCCATGGTGACACATCTGCTGTCATTAACTGCTCTTCTCTCGCCTTAGGAACGCCTTCTCCAAACCCATCATCGGGGACTCAAACGCCATGGATACGACAAAGGCTGCCATGTAGGAGAGAACAAGAAGGCCCAAAAACCAGATAACCTGCAAGAAACAACAGTATATGCAAGAAACAACAGTATATGCAAGAAACAACAGAATATGTAAGAAACAACAGTATATGCAAGAAACAACAGTATATGCAAGAAACAACAGTTTATATTACACACAGTACACAAGTACGAATTCAGTACACCTGCAATAACATACAGTATTACACAGTATACCAGTACCAATACAGTACACCTGCAACAACATACAGTATTACACACAGTACACCAGTACCAATACAGTACACCTACAACAACACACAGTATTACACACAGTATACCAGTACAAATACAGTACATGTGTATGCAGGGAGTTGTGGTGTATGCAAGGAGTTGTGGCGTATGCAGGGAGTTGTGGCGTATGCTGGGAGTTCTGTATGCAGGGAGTTGTGGTGTATGCAGGGAGTTGTGTATGCAGGGAGTTGTGGTGTATGCAAAGAGTTGTGGCGTATGGAGGGAGTTGTGGTGTATGCTGGGAGTTATGGCGTATGCTGGGAGTTGTGGTTTATGCAGGGAATTGTGGTGTATGCTGGGAGTTGTGGCGTTTGCTGGGAGTTGTGGTGTATGCTGGGAATTGTGGTGTATGCAGGGAGTTGTGGTGTATGCTGGGAGTTGTGGTGTATGCAGGGAGTTATGGTGTATGCTGGGAGTTGTGTATGCTGGGAGTTGTGGTGTATGCTGGGAGTTGTGGTGTATGCTGGGAGTTGTGTATGCTGGGAGTTGTGGTGTATGCTGGGAGTTGTGGCGTATGCAGGGAGTTGTGGTGTATGCAGGGAGTTGTGGTGTATGCTGGGAATTGTGGTGTATGCTGGGAGTTGTGGCTTATGCAGGGAGTTGTGGTGTATGCTGGGAGTTGTAGTGTATGCTGGGAGCTGTGGTGTATGCAGGAGTTGTGGCGTATGCAGGGAGTTGTTGTGTATGCTGGGAATCGTGGTGTATTCAGGGAGTTGTGGTGTATGCAGGGAGTTGTGGTGTATGCTCAGGATACTTACCGTGTTGATGTCAGAAATGTTGAGAAGTGCATGCTGGGAGCTGAAGAAGATGTACATGACGATGGGGTGGACAAGATAGGCGCAGTACGTCAGGCGACTCAGAGGTATGAAAGCAGGCCACGACAGCAACGTGTTCACAAAACCTGAAAACATCCCCATTATTACACAGAGCATGACAGGAAGTGGTCCTAGAAGTCTATCAGAAAAATAATGGCGCCCTCTGGGCTCTGCAATACCAATGCAAACAACCAACAGTGATAGGCCGAAGCCTTGTACTCATAAAACAAAACTCATTTTCCTTTGGAGATGAATACTTATACCCATACTAAAAGTCCATTAACTGATTTTGTTTTGTTTGTTGTTGAACACCACACTCTTCAAGCTATATGAAGGCTGTCTGTAAATAATTAAGTCTGGACCAGACAATCCAGAGATTGACATCATGAGCATCGATTCACGCAATTGGGATATGATGACATGCTTCAACCAAGGCAGCGAGTCTGACCACCTGATTCTGTCTACTAACTGAATTGCAAGTGAAACACTACTAGCCAATTTATATCATTGACTGTGATTTTGAAAATGTGTGTCGCCACTCGCCAGAGTGATTCACTGCACCAAATCAGCACTGGAGGCAAACGAATGAACTCATTTGCCATGGCGAAACAGAGGCAATTATGGATACTTGTGTTTCAATCAGTGTAATTCTATACCATGTACATGTGACCTGCAACAGCAACAGGCACAGGGAACACAGAGCATCATGTCGGGCTGACTCACACAGCGTTCTCACAGACTACTGTCGAGTTCTTGAACATCTCTTTAAATACGATCAAAATACTTCTTTCAACATCTTTGGTGCCCAGGTTCTATAAATGTGTTTAAATAGATAACAGAACTACGGGCCCCGGTGTGTAATTGTTAAATGGTTAGTTAAGAACGTCAGTACTCTGAACTAACCATTTAAACAATTACACACCGGGAATCAAGGGGTCCAGAGGTTTCAACGTGGGTCCTCATGAGTGAAACTCAACTCGTGCTCATGAACCGAATAATAATTCCTTTGGACAACAAACGTAATTATCTTTGTGAATGAGTGCTCAGCGGGTAGGCTTGCTTAACATTCTTATTCTAGCAAATAAAAGACAATACTGTACTGTAAATTGTGAAATTAATGCTTCTCCGAAAGAATGCAACCAATGGCCCCTAGCCAAAAATGCGACTCAATATGAATGCGACACACCCCTCCTCTCAAGCATCAAGGCTACTCGCATTTTTCGCATTTAATTCATGCTCGCATCAATTTCAAGATTTACAGTAATTAAAAACGTAAACGAACCCTTCTGTGTGTCAGGTTTTCATGATCGTTATTTTCTGGACATGTTGGCCTATACACATCATGCAAGGCAATGACACCGACGTACCTTAATATGTTTCAGACAACTATACGGCTTGCTACAAAGTGAATCCACTTCCAAGTTATGTTTCTACTCTGGACAAGTACTTGCTCAATGTTTTAATAACAACAGAAATTAGGTTTTAATATTTATCAATGAAATCTACTTGCAGCAGTCTTGTGAGAATGTGCCTGTTCACAGCTTGTTTGTGACAGAACATCCGGAAGAAATACTATCACTGCTGTTATATATTTTATACACACCAGTCTTTGAAAGGTATTTAGTGAGTGAGTGAGTATGGTTTTACGCCGCTTTTAGCAATATTCCAGCAATATCATGGCGGGGGACACCAGAAATGGGCTTCACACATTGTACCCATGTTTGGAATCGAACCCGGGTCTTTGGCCTGACGAGCGAACGCTTTAACCACTAGACTACCCAACCAACGCCCCTGGCCCTGAGAACTGGAGTACTGGTTGGAGCCCTAGCTACACACTGGTTCCTCTAATCTTAATATAATGGAGATTGTTTAATCTGAATGTACCGGGGGACCGATTGACCATCCCAACATGTTGTTTAAGGGTTCACATCGACATATCTGATAGAATTCAGTCAAAAATATCTACTAAAAAATATCATTTGATAAAAAGAAGGCAAATATGTTTACCTTCAGCATTCTGATGATGAATATGTACCAACAGCATTTATTGAGACTTCAGCTCTGACATCAACCAATTTGGACATTTCACAACATATTATTATTGAGATTTAGAAAAAGCCTGTCAACATGCTTCCAAACATTAATGGACAACATGCGAGGTATAAGTCTGTGATGTACCTGTCTTCATCTTTAATATGTTTGACCAATTCTGTCATTTTACAACTCACTGATCGATATATTCATTATTGATAGTTAGAAAAAATATTTCAAAGCGCTTCCATGTTTGACGTTTGACTCTTACCTCCGTAACCTGTAGCGCATGCGAAGATGACCCAGCACAGGCAGGCGCCCCACACTGTCCGATGCACAGCGTTGTAGAAAGCTGCAACTTCCACGGTGACCGGGTGACCTCTGTTGACGTCATACAGACCGTACAGCACGGCCAAAGCTGACGCCGTCGCTACACACCAGCCCGTTATCACAAGCCACTGAAATAGTGAAATACGTGCTTTTGGTGTATGTATGTTAAGCCAAGATGTTATGATACTATATTTGAGACATTATTCATTATACCTAAAACTTGTGGTGTCACCCTGGGCAAGTGCCTCTGTTTACCGAGCAGGGAATGGGTACCCAATATTTAAGGTGGATTAGTTGCCATGTTATAATGTACAGTGTGTTGCAATGTTATAATGTACAGTGTGTTGCAATGTTGTAATGTACAGTGTGTTGCAATGTTATAATGTACAGTATGTTGCAATGTTGTAATGTACAGTGTGTTGCAATGTTATAATGTACAGTATGTTGCTATGCTATAATGTACAGTGTGTTGCAATGTTATAATGTACAGTGTGTTGCCATGTTATAATGTACAGTGTGTTGCAATGGTGTTATGTACAGTGTGTTGCAATGATATAATGTACAGTATGTTGCTATGCTATAATGTACAGTATGTTGCTATGCTATAATGTACAGTGTGTTGCAATGTTGTAATGTACAGTGTGTTGCAATGTTATAATGTACAGTATGTTGCTATGCTATAATGTACAGTATGTTGCAATGTTATAATGTACAGTATGTTGCCATGTTATAATGTACAGTGTGTTGCAAAGTTATAATGTACAGTGTGTTGCAATGTTATAATGTACAGTGTGTTGCAATGTTATGATGTAGTGTGTTGCAATGTTATAATGTACAGTATGTTGCCATGTTATAATGTACAGTATGTTGCCATGTTATAATGTACAGTATGTTGCAATGCTATAATGTACAGTGTGTTGCAATGCTATAATGTACAGTGTGTTGCAATGCTATAATGAACAGTATGTTGCCATGTTATAATGTACAGTATGTTGCAATGTTATAATGTACAGTGTGTTGCAATGTTATAATGTACAGTATGTTGCCATGTTATAATGTACAGTGTGTTGCAATGTTATAATGTACAGTATGTTGCCATGTTATAATGTACAGTGTGTTGCAATGTTATAATGTACAGTGTGTTGCAATGTTATAATTTACAGTGTGTTGCAATGTTATAATGTACAGTATGTTGCAATGTTATAATGTACAGTATGTTGCCATGTTATAATGTAGTGTGTTGCAATGTTATAATGTACAGTGTGTTGCAATGTTATAATGTACAGTATGTTGCAATGTTATAATGTACAGTGTGTTGCAATGTTATAATGTACAGTGTGTTGCAATGTTATAATGTAGTGTGTTGCAATGTTATAATGTAGTGTGTTGCAATGTTATAATGTACAGTATGTTGCAATGTTATAATGTACAGTATGTTGCCATGTTATAATGTACAGTGTGTTGCCATGTTATAATGTACAGTATGTTGCAATGTTATAATGTACAGTATGTTGCAATGTTAAAATGTACAGTATGTTGCAATGTTATAATGTACAGTATGTTGCAATGTTATAATGTACAGTGTTGCAATGTTATAATGTACAGTATGTTGCAATGTTATAATGTACAGTGTGTTGCAATGTTATAATGTACAGTGTGTTGCAATGTTATAATGTACAGTGTGTTGCAATGTTATAATGTACAGGATGTTGCAATGTTATAATGTACAGTATGTTGCAATGTTGTAATGTACAGTATGTTGCTATGCTATAATGTACAGTATGTTGCAATGTTATAATGTACAGTATGTTGCTATGCTATAATGTACAGTATGTTGCAATGTTATAATGTACAGTATGTTGCTATGCTATAATGTACAGTGTGTTGCAATGTTGTAATGTACAGTGTGTTGCAATGTTATAATGTACAGTATGTTGCTATGCAATAATGTACAGTGTGTTGCTATGCTATAATGTACAGTATGTTGCTATGCTATAATGTACAGTATGTTGCAATGTTATAATGTACAGTATGTTGCTATGCTATAATGTACAGTATGTTGCTATGCTATAATGTACAGTATGTTGCTATGCTATAATGTACAGTATGTTGCAATGTTGTAATGTACAGTGTGTTGCAATGTTATAATGTACAGTGTGTTGCAATGTTATAATGTACAGTATGTTGCAGTGTTATAACGTACAGTATGTTGCAATGATATAATGTACATTATGTTGCCATGACATTACGTGAAGTATGTCACATCTCACCTTGTTGAGTCTGATCTTGCAGTCTGTCTTGTACAACAGGTAGCCAGTTACCATGCCGATGATGTACGGCCCCATGCGGCAATATGGTGTGATGTAGTAGTCAAAGAAGTACGCCATAGGGTCACTGGAAAGTGAATGAGTTTGTGTATTTCATGTTGTGTTTAGCAGCAGATAGCAGGGCTTTCATGTGCCCGAGCATGATCGAAAACAGGCATTGCAAGAAAATAGCGTTATCACTATTCCCGCCATGAGGCACATTAGAATATTGTTTGTTCATAGGGTAGTGAGTAATAAGGAAGTTAATGATAACTATAAGAAAGAGTCCTATACATTAAGGAGAGATAGGGTGGCTATATGTCATGAGAAAATCTGATTTTTGAACGCAGTCTTAATAAGTATCTCTTTGAAATGAGTTTAAGACACAAATTTTCGAACTCATTTAAGATTGTGACAAGTAACATCAGTTTGTAAAATCTCATTTCTTAACTTAAATAGTTTGGGATAAAATTTGTCTGACAGACTGACAGGCGGACGAACTCCGTTCTTCTATCCCTGTCCCACTGCAAGGCAGCGGCTAATAAGATCAATTGGTTATTTTTCAAGATGTTAAAATTTGAACAGCCTATCAAAACATACCAGCAAGAAGGAAGTTGAGCATTACCAATGTAAGTATAACAGTTAAAATTCAAACTTGTTGGATATGAGATCAAAGCAGAAGCTTTTCAAAGGGAGACAACTCTGCTTACGTTCCAGCCGGTGCACCGAAGCCTCCTGTTAGAGATGGGGACATTTTATTCACGCTGGATATGACACCAGATGTGATGAAGACTGCGAGGAGAAACACCAGCACAGAGATCGTGCCCAGGATGCCCGAACTACAGGAAATAAGTACTCAGTGAATTACCCACCATCACGACCCGTGAAGATCCGGGGTAGAATAGGTCGTCAGCAACCCATACATTTTTTTGTTTGTTGTTTAACGCTGCACTCAGCAATATTCCAGCTATATGACGGAGGTCTGTAAATAATCGAGTCTGGACCAGACAATCCAGTGATTGACAGCATGAACATCGATCCACGCATGGGTAGCCATAGGCGACAAAGCTTGTCGTAGTAGGCGACTAATAGGATCAGTGGTCAGGCTCGCTAACTCGCTAACTTGTTTGATGCATGCATCAATGCCAATTGCGTGAATTGATGCTCATGATATCAATCACCGGATTGTCTGGTCCAGACGCGATTATTTACAGCCCGCCGTCATTAGCTGGAATATTGCTGAGTGCGGCATTAAACAACAAACAAACAAACAAAAACACATAGGGCTTCATGTATGTAAACATTTGGAAAAATACAGAACCAAAACCTGGGCAATAGAGTTGATGCACAATATAATAGGAATATTACTTCACAGCTTGGGTACAGTGAAATAACAGACATTTTACAGACACATCACCAAAATATTACAGAACACAGCAGTTGTTTTCCAGCAATACAAAAACCTGAGCAACATCTGCAGATTTCAGATGATATATCTTCTGTTAGTATAGACATTGTTTACAGCATATCTGATAGGATTTACTCACAAGAACAGCGGCACAAATATGAGCGGCGACAAGATGTAAAACTGCATGTCATTGGCCAGATACCAGGACCAGCCCATGCACTGAAACAAAGGAGGTAACTCATGTCAAAAAGCGCATATATACGTTAACAGATTTTCTTTTATGAAAAACAAGCTTAGTTCCTTGTATGCTACTGAAGCAGGTCGATCATGGAATCAAATTCTTACCCCAGAATGTGGCCCACATCATCCCTACTTCAGTTAATTATAACATTTATCCTGAGTGTAAGACAAGATGAAGTATCAACAACCTGTTCCTCCCCTGAATCTCACTGGGGAGGGCATAGGTACCATTATGATGTGAAAGTGAAAATTTCCTTTTGATTTACATCGTGACTTGTGTGCACAGAAATATCAACAAATAGAACTTCATCAAATTTCACGAGAATGTATCCTGTGATTATTTTACATGATTTGATTGGCTAATAGTTTGCTAGCGTCTCAGATCTGCAATCTAATTTGCATAGAACAGTACTAGTCAACCAAGGTCAGAAAGGTCAACAATGCAAATAGATGCATTTCATTCATAAATTGTAGTAAAATGTAATAGTACTTCCAAATATGGCATACATTTCTTTGGAATGGAATAACGTGAACATTTCTTGGAAATTTAAGAAGCGAAGTAATGTCAACAGACTACCGCAGACAGAAAAAACCCAATATATTTGATTGAAATTAGAGGCGATCATGTTGCCTCAGGATAAATGCACTTGATATTTCTTTGGCGTATTTTGTAACCCAAATCGTGCCAAATACTCAGAAAACCTGCATCATAAGTTAGCCTGACAACTGGTCGGATTGAACACGCGGTCAACTGGTCAAGCTACCGATCGTTAGATTTCAATACCTGTTTGCATTTATCTGAGATGATCTTTGAACAAAAGTGATATGGGTAGATTGTGTTATGTTTATTCTTAGAAGAAGAAAATGCAAACGGAATTTAAGCAAGCTGTACGTATAAGAAGTTATAAATTATTTATTGTTTTAAAATATTTGGTTTTCTTAATAACATTAATTAGAATAAAAGTTGGTGATTATCTTACCGTAACTATTTTAAAAATCTCCCCATTTGGAGGTAAATCTCCACCATTTTGAAGTCAAATCTCCAACATAGTCATGATGAGGGGTTGACAGGTCGGATTATCGCCTCTCCACATCTCAACCACTATTATTCCATTGACAGAACACAAAGGCCTGTTTTATCTCACCCCAGCAGGGCCACTGGGACCTGATCACGCTTAGGGTCTCGCAAGAAGGGTGCACAAGGACCTAATTGTCCAAGTTTATTACCTCCCCTGGAGGAGTAAAGATTTGTTTGTCGCTAGATCACGCATCCCCAGAATCTCCCCAGGACGGACACAGGGACCTGATCATACTCAGGGTCTCGCAAGAAGGGTGCACAAGGACCTAATTGTCCATGTTTATTATCCGCCTTGGAGGAGTAAAGATTTGTTTGTCGCTAGATCACTCATCTCCAGAATCTCCCCAGGACGGACACAGGGACCTGATCACACTTAGGGTCTCACAAGAAGGGTGCACAAGGACCTAATTGTCCAAGTTTATTACCTCCCCTGGAGGAGTAAAGATTTGTTTGTCGCTAGATCACTCATCCCCAGAATCTCCCCAGGACGGACACAGGGACCTGATCATACTCAGGGTCTCGCAAGAAGGGTGCACAAGGACCTAATTGTCCAAGTTTATTACCTCCCTTGGAGGGGTAAAGATTTGTTTGTCGCTAGATCACTCATCCCCAGAATCTCCCTAGGAGGGACACAGGGACCTGATCATACTCAGGGTCTCGCAAGAAGGGTGCACAAGGACCTAATTGTCCAAGTTTATTACCTCCCTTGGAGGGGTAAAGATTTGTTTGTCGCTAGATCACGCATCCCCAGAATCTCCCTAGGACGGACACAGGGACCTGATCATACTCAGGGTCTCGCAAGAAGGGTGCACAAGGACCTAATTGTCTAAGTTTATTACCTCCCTTGGAGGGGTAAAGATTTGTTTGTCGTGAGATCACTTATCCCCAGAATCTCCCTAGGACGGACACAGGGACCTGATCATACTCAGGGTCTCGCAAGAAGGGTGCACAAGGACCTAATTGTCTTAGTTTATTACCTCCCTTGGAGGAGTAAAGATTTGTTTGTCGCTAGATCACGCATCCCCAGAATCTCCCTAGGACGGACACAGGGACCTTATCAGGGGCAACGACAAAGGACAAGCATGGCGTTCTTTGGACCTGTTCTGCCACTGAATCACCACTGAAAGCACTCAATATAGGTATGTGTTTAAACCTACCATCTCCTTCGTCTTGACCAGGTTGTTGACATAGAGTAAATTGGTCCACCATGAGTTCCGGCACTGGTTGATCTCGACCCCCTGCTGGGGCCACAGAGGGCCGTTAGTGATGTAGGGGAACAGTGGGACATACACCATCAACAACAACATGTACGGCGGGGTCAGTCTGAAATACATACAGTTACTTAACATGGTTTATATCAAATTCAACACTACTTGGTGTGTGTGTGAATTTGGTGTTATGTCCAAGTGGTTGATAGCAACTATTAGTCCAGTTTCATATATAAAGGTTATCACGCGAGTGTGTTTGGGGATGGTAAATATCCTGCATTAGGAATAAACATTGTATTTAGCAAGCAACCACCATCCTACAACCACATCCCACAACCATCTCCCACAACCACCTCCCACAACCACATCCCACAACCATCTCCCACAACCATCTCCCACAACCACCCCCCACAACCATCTCCCACAACCACCTCCCACAACCATCTCCCACAACCACCTCCCAAAACCACAAAACCACCTCCCACAACCATCCCCCACAACCACCCCCCACAACCACCTCCCACAACCACCTCCCACAACCACCCCCAACAACCACCTCCCACAACCACCTCCCACAACCATCTCCCATAACCACCTCCCACAACCACCTCCCACAACCATCTCCCACAACCACCCCCCACAACCATCTCCCACAACCACCTCCCACAACCACCTCCATAAAACCACCCCCCACAACCACCTCCATAAAACCACCACCCACAACCATCTCCCACAACCACCTCCCACAACCACCTCCCACAACCACCCCCCACAACCATCTCCCAAAACCATCTCCCACAACCACCTCCCACAACCACCTCCCACAACCACCTCCCACAACCATCTCCCACAACCACCTCCCACAACCACCTCCCACAACCACCTCCCACTCCAACAACCACCCCCCACAACCATCTCCCACAACCATCTCCCACAACCACCTCCCAAAACCATCTCCCACAACCACCTCCTACAACCATCTCCCACAACCACCTCCCACAACCACCTCCCACAACCACCTCCCACAACCATCTCCCAAAACCACCTCCCAGAACCATCTCCCACAACCACCCCCCACAACCATCTCCTACAACCACCCCCCACAACCACCTCCCACAACCACCTCCTACAACCACCCCCCACAACCACCTCCCACAACCATCTCCCACAACCATCTCCCACAACCACCCCCCACAACCACCTCCCACAACAATCTCCCACAACCACCTCCAGTAGTCCATGAACCAGCTGGTCCCCTCATCGCCACTCACCTCCAGAACCTGTGGAAGTAGAACATGAACCAGTTGATCCTGCCGCCTGACCGCCTCATCTCCTTCAGCACCAGGTAAGTCACCAGCAGCCCACTGAAACAGTTTCCAACAACATGCAAGTGCTTTGACAACACATGGACATGATGGTTGCCAGGGGATCCTCTGGCCACATGCTACAAGGAAGAGACAATTGTACCACTGCAAAGAAGCTCACTGCAATTGTTTTGTAACCAACTCCAGATAACTTGCTACGAGGAGAATAAAAGAGTGAAAACATAAATATTTGGACAAAAGAACAGTCACTGACCATTCACACTTAAATTAAATACCACACTGATACATGCATGGGGTCTTGGCCTTATCTACCGAGCGCTCATCCTAATCATGTAAGCTGGGATAATACAGCTGCTATACTTGTTCAGAAGGTCCCCAACACTCCAACACCAACTGGAAGTGCATCAGATTGCTAAGGGTCCAGATTGCTAAGGGTCCAGACTGCTAAGAGTCCAGACTGCTAAGAGTCCAGATTGCTAAGAGTCCAGATTGCTTAGTGTCCAGATTGCTAAAAGTCCAGATTGCTAAGGGTCCAGATTGCTAAGAGTCCAGATTGCTAAGGGTCCAGATCACTGAGCCCTTACCCGACACATGACTCTCCAACATCAGAGGGAGCACCTGCTGGCTCTTTATTTCTGAAACCTCGTCATGTCAGGTGTTTTCAAGTCATGCCACCTGACCAAGTTTTCATGTCACTTGAGCAACAAACTTTCATGTCACATTACTTCATTTTATGTCAGGTAACTTGAGAAACAAGTTTTCATGTCACATTACTTTATTTTATGTCAGGTAACTTGAGCAACAAGTTTTCATGTCACATTACTTTATTTTATTTCAGGTAACTTGAGCAACAAGTTTTCATGTCACATTACTTCATTTTATGTCAGGGAACTTGAGCAACAAGTTTTCATGTCACATTACTTCATTTTATGTCATGTCACTTGAACAACAAGTTTTCATGTCACATTACTTTATTTTATGTCAGGTAACTTGAGAAACAAGTTTTCATGTCACATTACTTCATTTTATGTCATGTCACTTGAGCAACAAGTTTTCATGTCACATTACTTCATTTTATGTCAGGTAACTTGAGAAACAAGTTTTCATGTCACATAACTTCATTTTATGTCATGTCACTTGAGCAACAAGTTTTCATGTCACATTACTTTATTTTATGTCAGGTAACTTGAGCAACAAGTTTTCATGTCACATTACTTCATTTTATGTCAGGTAACTTGAGCAACAAGTTTTCATGTCACATTACTTCATTTTATGTCACGTCACTTGAGCAACAAGTTTTCATGTCACATTACTTTATTTTATGTCATGTCACTTGAGCAACAAGTTTTCATGTCACATTACTTCATTTTATGTCAGGTAACTTGAGCAACAAGTTTTCATGTCACATTACTTTATTTTATGTCAGGTAACTTGAGCAACAAGTTTTCATGTCGCATTACTTCATTTTATGTCACGTCACTTGAGCAACAAGTTTTTATGTCACATTACTTTATTTTATGTCAGGTAACTTGAGCAACAAGTTTTCATGTCACATTACTTCATTTTATGTCAGGTAACTTGAGCAACAAGTTTTCATGTCACATTACTTCATTTTATGTCACGTCACTTGAGCAACAAGTTTTCATGTCACATTACTTTATTTTATGTCATGTCACTTGAGCAACAAGTTTTCATGTCACATTACTTCATTTTATGTCATGTCACTTGAGCAACAAGTTTTCATGTCACATTACTTTATTTTATGTCAGGTAACTTGAGCAACAAGTTTTCATGTCACATTACTTCATTTTATGTCATGTCCCTTGAGCAACAAGTTTTCATGTCACATTACTTCATTTTATGTCACGTCACTTGAGCAACAAGTTTTCATGTCACATTACTTCATTTTATGTCAGGTAACTTGAGCAACAAGTTTTCATGTCACATTACTTCAGTTTATGTCAGGTAACTTGAGCAACAAGTTTTCATGCCATGTCACTTGAGCAACAAGTTTTCATGCCATGTCACTTGAGCAACAAGTTTTCATGTCATGTCACTTGAGCAACAAGTTTTCATGCCATGTCACTTGAGCAACAAGTTTTCATGCCATGTCACTTGAGCAACAAGTTTTCATGCCATGTCACTTGAGCAACAAGTTTTCATGCCATGTCACTTGAGCAACAAGTGTCCAGGTCACGTCACGTGGTCAAGCTGGGTGATGACATGGGACGTTGCTGATTATCGTGATCATGGTCAAATCTGACTTGATTTTCTACAGGCCACACAATAACTGCAATATTGTTGACTGCAATAAAGACACCAACAAGTTTGCACTGACCTCATAGTGAAGAAGGAGTCGACAGACACTGTAGCATTGGCAATGGCCTGGAAAGTGAAGCGCTTGATGACTTCAGGGAAGAAGCTAATGAAGTTCCCTGAAAACAATGTCAAACTGTCACACGATGTTGACACTGGATGATACGAGCACTAGGGAATGATACTAACACTGTGGAGTGATGTTGACACTGGATGATACGAGCACGAGGGAATGATACTGACACTGTGGAGTGATGTTGACACTGGATGATACGAGCACTAGGGAATGATACTGACACTGTGGAGTGATGTTGACACTGTGGTGTGATACTGACACTGTGGAATGATACTGACTCTGTGGTGTGATACTGACTCTGTGGTGTGATACTGACACTGTGGTGTGATACTGACTCTGTGGTGTGATACTGACTCTGTGATGTGATACTGACTCTGTGGAATGATACTGACTCTGTGGTGTGATACTGACACTGTGGTGTGATACTGACTCTGTGGTGTGATACTGACTCTGTGGTGTGATACTGACACTGTGGTGTGATACTGACTCTGTGGTGTGATACTGACTCTGTGGTGTGATACTGACTCTGTGGTGTGATACTGACACTGTGGTGTGATACTGACACTGTGGAGTGATACTAACTCTGTGGTGTGATACTGACACTGTGGTGTGATACTGACTCTGTGGAATGATACTGACACTGTGGTGTGATACTGACTCTGTGGTGTGATACTGACACTGTGGTGTGATACTGACACTGTGGTGTGATACTGACTCTGTGATGTGATACTGACACTGTGGTGTGATACTGACTCTGTGGTGTGATATTGACACTGTGGTGTGATACTGACTCTGTGGTGTGATACTGACTCTGTGGTGTGATACTGACACTGTGATGTGATACTGACTCTGTGGTGTGATACTGACTCTGTGATGTGATACTGACTCTGTGGAATGATACTGACTCTGTGGTGTGATACTGACACTGTGGTGTGATACTGACTCTGTGGTGTGATACTGACTCTGTGGTGTGATACTGACACTGTGGTGTGATACTGACACTGTGGAGTGATACTGACACTGTGGTGTGATACTGACACTGTGGAGTGATACTGACTCTGTGGTGTGATACTGACTCTGTGGTGTGATACTGACTCTGTGGTGTGATACTGACACTGTGGTGTGATACTGACTCTGTGGTGTGATACTGACTCTGTGGAATGATACTGACACTGTGGTGTGATACTGACTCTGTGGTGTGATACTGACTCTGTGATGTGATACTGACTCTGTGATGTGATACTGACTCTGTGGAATGATACTGACTCTGTGGTGTGATACTGACTCTGTGGTGTGATACTGACTCTGTGGTGTGATACTGACTCTGTGGTGTGATACTGACTCTGTGGTGTGATAATGACTCTGTGGTGTGATACTGACACTGTGGTGTGATACTGACTCTGTGATGTGATACTGACTCTGTGATGTGATACTGACTCTGTGGTGTGATACTGACACTGTGGTGTGATACTGACTCTGTGATGTGATACTGACTCTGTGGAATGATACTGACACTGTGGTGTGATACTGACTCTGTGGTGTGATACTGACTCTGTGGTGTGATACTGACTCTGTGATGTGATACTGACTCTGTGGTGTGATACTGACACTGTGGAATGATACTGACTCTGTGATGTGATACTGACTCTGTGGTGTGATACTGACACTGTGGAATGATACTGACACTGTGGAATGATACTGATACTGGTGCTTGGGATTGATATTGTTGGTGGGGTGTTATATCGGCACTGAGGTTTGATATTGGCACTATGGTGTGATATTGGCACTGTGGTGTGATATTGACACTGTGGTGTGATATTGGCACTGAGGTTTGATATCGGCACTATGGTGTGATATTGACACTGTGGTGTGATATTGGCACTGTGATGTGATATTGGCATGGTGGTGTGATATTGGCACTGTGGTGTGATATTGGCACTATGGTGTGATATTGGCACTATGGTGTGATATTGGCACTGTGGTGTGATATTGGCACTGTGGTGTAACATTGGCACTGTGGCATGAAATTGGCACTGTCGTGTGATATTGGCTCTATGGTATGATATTGACACCATGGTGTGATATTGACACTTTGGCATGATATTGGCTTGATATGATGTGATATTGACACTATGACATGATATTGGCTTGATATGGTGTGATATTGACACTATGACATGATATTGGCTTGATATGGTGTGATATTGACACTATGACATGATATTGGCTTGATATGGTGTGATATTGACACTATGGCATGATATTGGCTTGATATGGTATGATATTGGCTTGATATGGTGTGATATTGGCACTGTGGTGTATATTGACACTATGGCATCATATTGGCACTGTGGTGTGATATTGACACTATGGCATCATATTGGCACTGTGGTGTGATGTTGCAATGTGGTGTATATTGACACTATGGCATGATATTGGCACTGTGGTGTGATATTGACACTATGGCATGATATTGGCTTGATATGGTGTGTTATTGACACTGTGGTGTATATTGGCAAAAAAAAACCCAACACGTTCCTAATTACAGCTGTCAAAACTCACCCATAGACGACAGACCAAACACGTAGGTGTGCCCCAAGATCACCCAAGTAATGGAGAGGAAGCGGATGCCATTGACTGCGGTCAGACTTCCAGGTGCCTGTTTGGTGCTCAGCAACTTAGAGGCGTTGGTGTACACAGAGAAGGACAGCAGGATCTTGCTACACATACCTGTAGTATAAGGACATAATGTTAGTGACAAAGAGATACTGTGTGTCAGTCACTGAACTGTTTGTGTCTGTCACTGCAAGGACATTTATATCATGACAAGGACATATTCCTGTATATATCATAAGAGGACATATTAAATATTTCATAAAAAGACATCTTATTGTATATATCATAGAAGGATGTATTGTATACATCATAAACAGGACACTGTACATATCATAACAAGGACATAATGTATATATCATAACAAGGACATAATGTATGTATCATGACAAGGACATAATGTATATATCATAACAAGGACATAATGTATATGTCATAACAAGGACATAATGTATATATCATAACAAGGACATAATGTATGTATCATGACAAGGACATAATGTATATATCATAACAAGGACATAATGTATATATCATAACAAGGACATAATGTATGTATCATGACAAGGACATAATGTATATATCATAACAAGGACATAATGTATATATCATAACAAGGACATAATGTATATATCATAACAAGGACATAATGTATATATCATAACAAGGACATAATGTATGTATCATGACAAGGACATAATGCATATATCATAACAAGGACATAATGCATATATCATAACAAGGACATAATGTATATATCATAACAAGGACATAATGCATATATCATAACAAGGACATAATGTATATGTCATAACAAGGACATAATGTATATATCATAACAAGGACATAATGTATATATCATGACAAGGACATAATGTATATATGATAACAAGGACATAATGTATATGTCATAACAAGGACATAATGCATATATCATAACAAGGACATAATGTATGTATCATGACAAGGACATAATGTATATGTCATAACAAGGACATAATGTATATATCATAACAAGGACATAATGTATATATCATGACAAGGACATAATGTATATGTCATAACAAGGACATAATGTATATGTCATAACAAGGACATAATGTATATATCATAACAAGGACATAATGTATATATCATGACAAGGACATAATGTATATATCATAACAAGGACATAATGTATATGTCATAACAAGGACATAATGTATATATCATAACAAGGACATAATGTATATATCATAACAAGGACATAATGAATGTATCATAACAAGGACATAATGTATATGTCATAACAAGGACATAATGTATATATCATAACAAGGACATAATGTATATATCATGACAAGGACATAATGTATATATGATAACAAGGACATAATGTATATGTCATAACAAGGACATAATGCATATATCATAACAAGGACATAATGTATGTATCATGACAAGGACATAATGTATATGTCATAACAAGGACATAATGTATATATCATAACAAGGACATAATGTATATATCATGACAAGGACATAATGTATATGTCATAACAAGGACATAATGTATATATCATAACAAGGACATAATGTATATGTCATAACAAGGACATAATGTATATATCATGACAAGGACATAATGTATATGTCATAACAAGGACATAATGTATGTATCATGACAAGGACATAATGTATATGTCATAACAAGGACATAATGTATATATCATAACAAGGACATAATGTATATATCAGAAAAAGGACATAATGTATGTATCATGACAAGGACATAATGTATATGTCATAACAAGGACATAATGTATATATCATAACAAGGACATAATGTATATATCAGAAAAAGGACATAATGTATGTATCATGACAAGGACATAATGTATGTATCATGACAAGGACATAATGTATATATCATAACAAGGACATAATGTATATATCATAACAAGGACATAATGTATGTAACATGACAAGGACATAATGTATATGTCATAACAAGGACATAATGTATATATCATAACAAGGACATAATGTATATATCAGAAAAAGGAAATGACGTATATATATCATTAATTAGATTGTCATATTAACGATGATTGAGGACAAAATGTTCACATAACAATGAGGACAAAGGACATGGAGGACACAGGACAGTGTTAACAATGATATACACAAAAATTAACATTTACTTTACCGTATTGTGGACATACCATATATATCTGACAAGGATGTATGAAGCCATACAGAACCTCAGCCACGTGTGAAAACTGAGTTTGGAGTGTAGTCTCATGCATAAAGACCATCCACTGGTATAAACAAAGGTATCAGAGTGAACAAGGGCAGAGTGTATGTACTAACAAGGGCATAGTGTACGTTCTAACAAGGGCAGAGTGTATGTACTAACAAGGGCAGAGTGTACGTTCTAACAAGGGCATAGTGTATGTATTAACGAGGGCATAGTGTATGTACTAAAAAGGGCAGAGTGTATGTACTAACAAGGGCAGAGTGTATGTACTAACAAGGGCAGAGTGTATGTACTAACAAGGGCAGAGTGTATGTACTAACAAGGGCAGAGTGTATGTACTAACAAGGGCAGAGTGTATGTACTAACAAGGGCATAGTGTACGTTCTAACAAGGGCAGAGTGTATGTACTAACAAGGGCAGAGTGTATGTACTAACAAGGGCATAGTGTACGTTCTAACAAGGGCATGGTGTATGTATTAACGAGGGCAGAGTGTGTGTATTAACAAGGTCAGATTGTATGTACCGTATTTTCTTGAGTATAGTGCGCACCCATGTATAATGCGCACCCCCCTCTAGCGGGTTCAATATTTTGGAAAAAAAAGAAATTTGAATATTATGCGCAGAAATATTTTACACCGTACCCTTTCAGCGAAGTCCGGCAAACGAACGGGTGCTGAGAAACTTCGTCAGTACAAATTCGAAATTTGAGATAAAAAATCACCAGACATGTTTATTTACCGTTTAAATAGTATTTATTGTTCTGCTAGGCATTGTTTTATATTTAGGGATTAAGATTACCTTGCGTATTTTCTCGTAAACTAAGCTGGAAACAGCAATCAGCTGTACACACGTTTTCTTGGAATCGACCGGTGATTCGGTCAAGACACACCCAATGATATAACTTTATAAGATTTTTAATGCAAGGATCGGCAACAATTGTATCTGAAACTATTTTATTTATCAGGAATAATATATTCCATTATTTTCTTAATTATATGCAACCTTTACTAAACATATTTAAAATAATAATAACCCTAAGCGAAGCAGCTGATCGCTATTCCCGGGTAATATTTTTTACATGGAACATGTCTCACCAGTCACCGTCAAGGCTCACGCGCATGTGATCACGCGATCAAAAAGTGCGCACTATACTCAAGAAAATACGGTACTAACAAGGGCATAGTGTACGTTCTAACAAGGGCACAGTGTATGTATTAACGAGGGCATAGTGTGTGTTCCTACACGGATACAGCCTGTCTCAGTAACTGTCTTATTTACACTTGCTAACGATGGTCTTCTAATCATACATACTTGGTTGTGGCTGACTGAAATCTGGTTTCCCTGTCTCATTTAGCAGTGGAGTTGTCTCCTCTTGTTTATGCTTGATGTTCAGTGATGTGTGGGTGTTGGTGCCATTCAATAAACCCTTTTCCTCAGCAGACAACATGTACCAGAGTGGAAGTTGGATAAACACGATGTCATAGATTGTGCCCATAACCAGCAGCACAACGAACAGCATCGCCACCACACTGGAAACGAAACAGAGCAAACGATATTATCCAACCCTGGCTACAAGATAAATTATCAGTTTAGAAATGAAAGCCTATAACATTGTCTTCTTGTTTCCAAATCGATATACACAGAACTGTTGCCACGATTCCCTTAGGGAGTCAAGCATGTTAGGATGTGCTGGTGACAGAGTGTACCAGGGCTTTACCACATGCAAAATATTGTCTTCTTCCGCACTCAGCAATATCCCAGCTATATGATTGCAGTCTGTAAATATTCGAGCCTGGACCAGTCAATCCAGTGATTGATATCATAAGCATTGATCTACGCAATTCGGATACGATGACATGCATCAACCAAGGCAGCAAGCCTGACCACCTGACCTCTTACGACAAGCATAGCAGCCTCTTATGGCAAGCATAGGTTGCTGAAACCTGAAACCTATTCTAACCTCGATCTTCATTGGTCTATCAACAATTGAGAAAGGGAGTATATAATGTGTATATAATGGTGTCCCATGACACCAACAATATGACTGACTAATTCATACCAATTTTGATGGTAGCATGTACATACACTTTTACCCTCCAATTGTCTTCACAGGGCCACTATGTTTGTTTCAAACAAGGAAATCCTGATCCATCATTAGCATAAAGTTTCAGAAATATTTGATAGTTTATTTGTTGCTGGTACAGGGGTCACACTGGTATCCCTTTTTCATCTCAAGGACATAAGCGGAAAACATCACTTAGAGAAATTCCCAGACAAATCCCTGGAGTACAGAGGTCAACTTACAAGACAGCGATGGCTTTCGTGTCCCACTCTAGGTTCTCCTCCTGACACACAGTACTCCTGACCTTTAACTGTGTGGTGACGTTCAGCTGCTCAAGCACCAGGTCCAACACTGCAGGGAAACAAACATAACAAGCACCTGCTCCAATACTGCAGAGAGACAGACATAACAAGCACCTGCTCCAACACTGGAGGGAGACAGACATAACAAGCACCTGCTCCAACACTGAAGGGACACAAACATAACAAGCACCTGCTCCAACACTGAAGGGAGACAGACATAACAAGCACCTGCTCCAACACTGGAGGGAGACAGACATAACAAGCACCTGCTCCAACACTGAAGGGACACAAACATAACAAGCACCTGCTCCAACACTGCAGTGAGACAGACATAACAGGCACCTGCCCAACACTGAAGGGAGACAGACATAACAGGCACCTGCCCAACACTGAAGGGAGACAAACATAACAAGCACCTGCCCAACACTGGAGGAACACAGACATAACAAGCACCTGCTCCAACACTACAGGGATCAGCACCAAACAAGTTCAGCACCTGACCTTGATTCTGCTTGCTTCCTTCCCTCACTGTACACAATCTGCTGCAAGTTTTCACAGCCATTGGTAAGGAGGAGAGTTGCATCCCTTAGCCTACCAGGATCCCACCAGTCATCATCTGAGTCACTTACCGAGTCTGATTTCAAAAGCAATTGTAAGTTTTGTGTCAACCTGGACGCACTTTTTGAGCTGAACATTGCTTCAGTTGTGTTCCTGTACACGGACCTAGGAATTCTTCTGTTTTTAGAGCTTACAATTACTTACACAGATAACTGAAATTTCTACAATCATTTTACTTTTATACAATACATCAGCTGGCCTAATGCCAACACCTGAGCTATGTATGAATGGATAAAGCAGGCTTTAGAGTGTATGTCCAAGCAGCATTTACAATTAAAAAAATAGCATAGCAGACAAAACAACATAAGTAGGACCTAGTTGAATGAAGGCAAAACAAGGCATTGCTCTCAACAATCCTGTGACAGTTGGAGAATTGACAAACAAGTAGACGACCTGTTGAAATGCAGATATACTCACTGTCATTAAGAATCAATGTCACATCTTCCCCATTACAGGAGTCCGGGAAGCAGAGTCCAATTGTGATGTCGGAGAATGATGGCATCGTCGGACCTGGAGCCTGTTTAACAACATTCCAGATAAGAGTGGTGTCACTGCACTGAAGCTCACCTCCATTAAGATGATGTGATGAGGCAAAAGGCATGTTAGATACTCACTAGTGCAGTAATCGTTAACTAAACATTCACCAATTATCGATAAATATAAAAAAAATTGACTTTGAGCAAATACGCAAAAAAAAAAAAAAGAACTGAATATCTTTCACTCCACTGGTGAGTGGTGGCATGTTTAAGCAGGGATTACTTTGCAGACATTTGAGATGTAACAAAAACAGTTACTTTCCATATTCATCAATTGCCATGATTGACAATAATGAGTCTGTTTTGGTAAATTTCAACTTTCATTAAATAGTTTATGTAATAAATTATCGATGACACAATTTTTATATTGATAATCGTTAATATTTCTTCCCATCATCCATCATTCCGATTGTCGATATTTTGACCTACTCTGCAATAGGTGTTACCCACAATACCACGGTTGCCGTAGGTGTGAAATAACAGGTTCATAACATACCATTAAACCAACAACAGGCAAGAATATTTGAACAATAAAGCTGAGAGATTTGGCTGTGAGAATGTGACTGGTCAAGTCCAAGTTAAATAATGTCATATCCAGAAGGGTACCTTGTGTTGTTACTCCTAAAACGGGTACTTTGTACCTTAGGATGGAATAAATAGTTATTCACCACTTCAATTATTAACGCATTTCAATTATTAACGCATTGAAATGAAGCGATTTTACTTCATGATACATTCATACAAACAAAAAATATATAGCATCATAATTTGAATATTCATCATGCATGTATCTTTCTTGAATAATGCAGCGGTAGAAACTAACAGTTTTAGACCACTAGTCCTTATAATGATATCATATATTGCAAAGCCCTTAAAAAGGGCAAATTTCTACTTGTCCTTATGATACCTTTTAAAACTATTGGGCAGTTTGGCAAGGCCTACAGGACTTAATGTGCCTATTTCTAATGCTGTAATGTTATACAGGCACATGTTCATGTAATTCCTTTCTGTGATGATTGCCTTTTTGAAGTACGCTGACCTTAAAATCACAAAAGTCAAATATATCTTATACGGCTGTTGGCCTTTTGGAAGTACGCTGACCTTAAACTCACAAAAGTCAAATATATCTTATACGGCTGTTGGCCTTTTGGAAGTACGCTGACCTTAAACTCACAAAAGTCAAATATATCTTATACGGCTGTTGGCCTTTTGGAAGTACGCTGACCTTAAACTCACAAAAGTCAAATATATCTTATACGGCTGTTGGCCTTTTTGAAGTACGCTGACCTTAAACTAACAAAAGTCAAATATATCTTATACGGCTGTTGGCCTTTTTGAAGTACGCTGACCTTAAACTAACAAAAGTCAAATATATCTTATACGGCTGTTGGCCTTTTTGAAGTACGCTGACCTTAAACTCACAAAAGTCAAATATATCTTATACGGCTGTTGGCCTTTTGGAAGTACGCTGACCTTAAACTAACAAAAGTCAAATATATCTTATACGGCTGTTGGCCTTTTGGAAGTACGCTGACCTTAAACTCACAAAAGTCAAATATATCTTATACGGCTGTTGGCCTTTTTGAAGTACGCTGACCTTAAACTAACAAAAGTCAAATATATCTTATACGGCTGTTGGCCTTTTTGAAGTACGCTGACCATAAACTCACAAAAGTCAAATATATCTCCTATATGGCTGTTGGCCTTTTTGAAGTACGCTGACCTTAAACTCACAAAAGTCAAATATATCTTATACGGCTGTTGGCCTTTTGGAAGTACGCTGACCTTAAACTAACAAAAGTCAAATATATCTTATACGGCTGTTGGCCTTTTGGAAGTACGCTGACCTTAAACTCACAAAAGTCAAATATATCTTATACAGCTGTTGGCCCTGTTTGGGAGGTCCAAGGTGAATTTCATGATTTAAATCTCAGTGAGGTTATTAGCAGTAATCATGCTAATTTCATAAGTCGTGACCTTGACATGCAAAGTCAACCAACCATATGAGAGCATACGCTTTATAAATACATAGAGTTACTTGAGAGTAAGTACATTCTGACAAGTGAGTGAGTGAGTGAGTGAGTGAGTGAGTGAGTGAGTGAGTGAGTGAGAACAGTATTCCAGTAATATCACGGTGTGTCAGCTTCATGTGGGAGGAAAGCCAAGGGGAGCTAATAATACAAACAAATTCAGTAAAACAATTCTAACATGAAGAGATTCTCACCGGGGCATTTGGCTGGAGTGGGATGCTGGCTTTACAGTATTTTCCTTTGAAGATCTTTTTGGTGACATTTCTGATGGTCTCGCTGGCCCTGACCCCTACACACTCGTCGTATGACCCCAAGAAGGTGAGTTGGAACTGAAGTAGTCCGCTGCCTGGCTTCCCTGCTGCGTCAATCACTGGGGGTAGAGAGAGTATACATGTTACCATGGTTACAGCCCTTACAGGGTAGAGAGAGCATACATGTTACCATGGTTACCGCCCTTACAGGGTAGAGAGTATATATATGCTACCATTGTTACCACCCTTACTCAGGGTAGAGAGCGTATACATGTTACCATGGTTACCACCCTCACACTGGGAGTAGAGAGTGTGTATACATGTTACCATGGTTACCACCCTTACACTGGGGGTAGAACGAGCATACATGTTACTATGGTTACCAACCTTACAGTGGGGGTAGAGCAGACATGTAACCATGGTTAGCACCCATACACACAGGGTAGAGAGCATGGTTTCCCCTCCAGAAGTAAACATGTTTCACACTGGCGGTTAGAGAAAGCATACATATTTAACACTCAGGTAGAGAGAGCTTACATGTTACCATGGTTACCTCTCCAGAAGAAAACATGTTTCACACTGGAAGTTGAGAGAGCATACATATTTAACACTCATGTAGAGAGAGCTTACATGTTACCATGGTTACCCCTCCAGAAGAAAACATGTTTCACACTGGCGGTTGAGAGATTATACGTATTTAACACTCTGGTAGAGAGAGCTTACATGTTACTATTGTCAGAAAGCCTTTTGAGCCCAAATGTCTATTATTTCGTTTCGTTGTTTAATTCCACTTTTGTTATATTTGGTTTCGTTTCCTTTACCATTTTCCAATTTCCATATGTACCAAAATGGCAGCCTCCAGCCAGGAGTGTTGACCATGTGCTTATCCAACAGAAATACAGTCTTTTGTGCCTAAAACAGCCTTGGCGTCCTATATCCACCACGAACCGCCCAGCCCTCGCCCGTGCATCCAAGCACCGTGTTTTCAACTATGGTTACCAGTCCAGAAGAAAACATGTTTCACCATGTTTCACACTGGCGGTAGGGAGAGCATACATATTTAACACTCAGGTAGAGAAGGCTTACATGTTACTATGGTTACCACTCCGGAAGAAAACATGTTTCACCATGTGTCACACTGGCGGTAAGGAGAGCATACATATTTAACACTCGGGTGAGAGAGCTTACATTTTTCTATGGTTACCACTCCAGAAGAAAACATGTTTCACCATGTTCACACTGGCGATTAGGAGATAATACATATTTAACACTCAGGTAGAGAGAGCTTACATGTTGCTATGGTTACCACTCCAGAAGAAAACATGTTTCACCATGTTCACACTGGCGGTAAGGAGAGCATACATATTTAACACTTGGGTGAGAGAGCTTACATGTTACCATGGATACCACTCCAGAAGAAAACATGTTTCACACTGCATGGCGAAAGGGAGAGCATGTACACATTACCATGGTTACCATCATAGACGTAGACATGTTCACACAGGGTAGATAGAGTATACATGTTACTATGATTACTATGACCACTCTAAGAAGTAGTCTCATCCAACATAGAGTGCACAGGGCGCATACATGTTACCATGGTTACCATCATAGACGTAGACACATTCACACAGGGTAGATAGAGTATACATGTTACTATGATTACTATGACCACTCTAAGAAGTAGTCTCATCCAACATAGAGTGCACAGGGCGCATACATGTTACCATGGTTACCGCCATAGACGTAGACATGTTCACACAGGGTAGATAGAGTATACATGTTACTTTGATTACTATGACCACTCTAAGAAGTAGTCTCATCCAACATAGAGTGCACAGGGCGCATACATGTTACCATGGTTACCCTCATAGACGTAGACATGTTCACACAGGGTAGATAGAGTATACATGTTACTCTGATTACTATGACCACTCTAAGAAGTAGTCTCATCCAACATAGAGCGCACAGGGCGCATACATGTTACCATGGTTACCATCATAGACGTAGACATGTTCACACAGGGTAGATAGAGTATACATGTTACTATGATTACTATGACCACTCTAAGAAGTAGTCTCATCCAACATAGAGTGCACAGGTTGCATACATGTTACCATGGTTACCGCCATAGATGTAGACATGGTGACATACTGAGGGTAGATACAGAATACATGTTATGATGTTTAGCCTATTTGAAAACAATTAAACTGTATGAAAAGATGTAGATTTTAAATTTTGAATGTCAGTTTGTACTGTTTACTGTGATAAGGGACTGAAGTTATAGTGATCGTCTTCATCATTTTAAAATAATGTTGTCTAAAGGAAATTGATTTTGTTTTTCTAGCCGTAAATAGCTGAAATATTGCTGATGCGGCTTAAAGCAACACTTACACACTGAGTGTGTATGGTTTTACGCCGCTTTTAGCAATATTCCAGCAATATCGTGGCAGGGGACACCAGAAATGGGCTTCACACATTGTACCCATGTCGGGAATCAACCCAGGTCTTCGGCGTGACGAGCGAACGCTTTAACCACTAGGCTACCCAACCGCCCCTCACTCACTGAGGAGAGAGGACACAGTAAGTGAGTCACCTGCCCCAGACAGCCTGGCCTTCTCAGCGTACCCCACTACTGAACTGTAGCAGAAAGACAGTCACATGATACACAATGAGTTGTTTTCCTGCAATTAATAACTTTTGCCCTTTGGTATGTCGCATTGTTTAATGCAAAGTGCAGGATGTTTCAGGATGACTGAGGTGAGGTGAAATGGAGTTTAACGTCGCGTTCAAGATTATTGCACTTATATAGCAATGCGCATGCACCTGTGTCTGAGTGTGTGTTTGTGTGGCGGCTTGTTCTAGGCCGGTCTAATGCCGCTTTTAGTGCTAGCACACTGAGATACCATGTCACAGTTTAACCTAAATACCCCACTCAGACACAGTATACTGATTCCGAGCTGTCCAGTCCTTGTTTAAGCCCCTTAATGCTGAGCGCGAGACAGGGTAACAACAAGTACCATCTTTTTAATACATGTATTAACGTCTTTTGCTATGACACGGCCTGGGATCGAACCCAAAACGTTCCTCTCTTTGGGCAGACGTTCTAACCACTAGACCACGGAGGCGGTCTGTTTTAGGAGGATGTCAAAAGATTTTTAGGAGGGTGTCTTAGATATTTCAGAAGAAGTTTCAGGACATTCCGGCAAGGGTTGTCACGGGACATTCATAGTCACTTGACTCCCTTGCCTTAGATAGATGGCAACATTGCGCTGTCAATAAGGCACGCAAGCAGGACAAATGGTCACAATTTGGTCATCGGGATACTATCTAAACAATGTTTATCACAATAGTCCACACTGTTATCACTAACAAAATATTCTGCTGTCGTCATGTCTCCTTATAGAAATAATTTAGCAAGTGAGCGTGGCCGTTCTGTTATGATTTCAAATTCAGATGTCCATGACGACCCGATAACTCCCAGATGAGAGAAACATGATATTTCATGAGACACACGGAATATCCTACTTATTTTATAGTTTTGTGTAGTCGTCTACTGAAATTCTTCCTATCCAACACACACAGGGGTGTTTCACCACCCCTTGTATTTGCGACTAAAAAAGTAGTTCTGTGTTTGGAAAATCTTAAAAAACATAAACCACAGTAACCATAATAATTTAAGGTCATGAAAATTCTTTATCATACATTTAGATATGACTATATACAAAATCAACTTTCAAAAAATAAATTCTTGAAATCTATGAGATCGATGCTGGAAAAGAAAGAATACACGCTGGTCAAGTGACAAAAATCACGCTTTGCGAAACAAACACTCTTGATTGATGAGTTAAATGAGAAATTTACACTTTATTACGAAACATTTTCAAGAGAATAACAAACAGCAAGAACCGATATTAACTCCACAATGACGATCTATAATTATTTTGCCTTGTCAGTGTGGAACTAATCCAAAAAGGAAGTCAACAGATTGTGTACAGGCTGGACACTTACAATAAAGGGAGACAATTTGAGGGGAGGTAACTCTTGTATGACAATAGTTCTGTCAAAGTGTTATGTTCACTGCAATGAAAATATCACTTTTCTCACACTTCAGAAACTCAGTCTTTCACACTGAAGTATATATAAATCACACAAACCTCAGGCACTCTGTTGTGACCCTAGTGTTGTAAGCCGAATAGTGGACCTCTGAAGGCTGGCGTTTGAGACTCTAACATTGATATCAATGACTGGGGCTGGGACAAGTCCAAATTTACAACCTGGGGTCTCGACCCCCAATTACCCGACCCTACCCAGGTAGGTCTCAAGAGTTGGGTCATGATGTCTAATTGGGAATTGTTTTACTGGAGCCCTGGCAAATGTTTGTTACAGACACACATAAAACGATCAGATCATGCATACCCTTAAGTCGACTGAAGTTATATCTCTCCTCAAATGTACAACACATGCATAGTCATATATCTCATGCATAGTTATATCTCTCCTCAAATGTACAACACATGCATAGTCAGAAAGAAATACAAACATAAGCGACTTTTATAATTATTGAATTTGAACAACATATTACGAGACCAACCATGGGGCCGGTAGTCTTGTGGGTACCCGGGTCTTACTCAGGACCCACCCGACCTGAGTACCCATGCTAATCCTCCCTGCCTTGTCAGTGACCATAAGGTCATTACTTTATAAGTTTATAGAAACTTAACAAAGTCTTAAGTGATGTTTTTGGACACAAGCAAGGTCACTATGAGAGCCTAATCCGGCTTATTGTTTCCACAGGTTGGGTAAAACTGTTTGACTCATGTAATTGGTTCAGCGAAGCATGTGATGCCGTAACAGCAGCAATCAGTTTATGCAACAGAGTGTGAGAAAACGGCTGATTATAAGGTCAAGGGTTAAAGCCCTGGATTAACAGCAAAATTCGACAACCAATCCTTATTAGAGGAATATTCAGACAAAAGGCAAAAATATCCTTGTCTTCAGGGACAATAAAACTAAAAGGTTAACATAAAAACATGTCGCAGGTCCTGAATGTCCATCTTGTGAATTACGTCAACTGACATAGATCAATGGAAGTTTCTGTCTGTCAAAAGACAGAGAAAACGGTGTGAGCTAGATTGAAAATTTGTTCTGGGAATACAACCATCAAAGACTGGTTAATTTGTTTGTTGGTTGTTTAACGCCATCCTCAGCAATATTCCAGATATATCTGCATGAAGCCTACACTATTTCGATCATACATCTACATGTAGCCTACACTAGTTTGATCATATCTGCATGTAGCCTACACTATTTCAATCATACATCTGCATGTAGCCTACACTATTTCCATCATAAATCTGCTTGCAGCCTACATTATTTCGATCATATCTGCATGTAGCCTACACTACTTCGATCATAAATCTGCTTGTAGCATACACTATTTCTATCATACATCTGCAGCATGTAGCCTACACTATTTCGATCATACATCTGCATGTAGCCTACACTATTTCAATCATACATCTGCCTGTAGCCTACACTATTTCGATCATATCTGCTTGTAGCCTACACCATTTCTATCATACATCTACATGTAGCCTACACTATTTCGATCATACATCTGCATGTAGCCTGCACTATTTCGATCATATCTGCATGTAGCCTGCACTATTTCGATCATATCTGCATGTAGCCTACACTATTTCCATCATAAATCTGCTTGCAGCCTACATTATTTCGATCATATCTGCATGTAGCCTACACTACTTCGATCATAAATCTGCTTGTAGCATACACTATTTCTATCATACATCTGCATGTAGCCTACACTATTTTAATCATACATCTACAGGTAGCCTACACTATTTCTATCATACATCTACATGTAGCCTACACTATTTCGATCATACATCTGCATGTAGCATACACTATTTCGATCATACATCTGCATGTAGCCTGCACTATTTTGATCATACATCTGCATGTAGCCTACACTATTTCAATCATACATCTGCATGTAGCCTACACTATTTCAATCATACATCTGCATGTAGCCTACACTATTTCAATCATACATCTGCATGTAGCCTACACTATTTCAATCATACATCTGCATGTAGCCTACACTATTTCGATCATACAACTACATGTACCCTACACTATTTCAATCATACATCTGCATGTAGCCTACACTATTTGAATCATACATCTACATGTAGCCTACACTATTTCGATCATATCTGCATGTAGCCTACACTATTTCGATCATACAACTACATGTACCCTACACTATTTCAATCATACATCTGCATGTAGCCTACACTATTTCGATCATATCTGCATGTAGCCTACACCATTTCGATCATACATCTGCATGAAGCCTACACTATTTCAATCATACATCTGCATGTAGCCTACACTATTTCGATCATACATCTGCATGTTGCCTACACTATTTCGATCATATCTGCATGTAGCCTACAGCATTTCGATCATACATCTGCATGTAGCCTACACTATTTCAATCATACATCTGCATGTAGCCTACACTATTTCGATCATACATCTGCATGTAGCCTACACCATTTCGATCATACATCTGCTTGTAGCATACACTGTTTCCATCATAAATCTGCTTGTAGCCTACACTATTTCGATCATATCTGCATGTAGCCTACACCATTTCGATCATACATCTGCTTGTAGCATACACTGTTTCCATCATAAATCTGCTTGTAGCCTACACTATTTCGATCATATCTGCATGTAGCCTACACTATTTCAATCATACATCTGCATGTAGCCTACACTATTTCAATCATACATCTGCATGTAGCCTACACTATTTCAATCATACATCTGCATCTAGTCTACACTATTTCGATCATACAACTACATGTACCCTACACTATTTCAATCATACATCTGCATGTAGCCTACACTATTTGAATCATACATCTACATGTAGCCTACACTATTTCGATCATATCTGCATGTAGCCTACACTATTTCGATCATACAACTACATGTACCCTACACTATTTCAATCATACATCTGCATGTAGCCTACACTATTTCGATCATATCTGCATGTAGCCTACACCATTTCGATCATACATCTGCATGAAGCCTACACTATTTCAATCATACATCTGCATGTAGCCTACACTATTTCGATCATACATCTGCATGTTGCCTACACTATTTCGATCATATCTGCATGTAGCCTACAGCATTTCGATCATACATCTGCATGTAGCCTACACTATTTCAATCATACATCTGCATGTAGCCTACACTATTTCGATCATACATCTGCATGTAGCCTACACCATTTCGATCATACATCTGCTTGTAGCATACACTGTTTCCATCATAAATCTGCTTGTAGCCTACACTATTTCGATCATATCTGCATGTAGCCTACACCATTTCGATCATACATCTGCTTGTAGCATACACTGTTTCCATCATAAATCTGCTTGTAGCCTACACTATTTCGATCATATCTGCATGTAGCCTGCACTATTTCGATCATATCTGCATGTAGCCTGCACTATTTCGATCATATCTGCATGTAGCCTACACCATTTCGATCATATCTGCATGTAGCCTACACTATTTCGATCATATCTGCTTGTAGCCTACACTATTTCGATCACACATCTGCATGTAGCCTACACTATTTTGATCATATCTGCATGTAGCCTACACTATTTCAATCATACATCTACATGTGGCCTACACTATTTCGATCATATCTGCATGTAGCCTACACCATTTCAATCATACATCTGCATGTAGCCTACACTATTTCGATCATATCTGCATGTAGCCTACACCATTTCGATCATACATCTGCATGTAGCCTACACTATTTCGATCACATATCACTCTTTGTTCACAGTTTATATACTTACTCTGTAACGCCCATCGTTCGCCTGCTATCAATGATTCCAAAACCTTGGCAGTTTGGTTGACGCACTTCGGGGAGATCGTAGCGTTAGCTGTCGCCATCAGTGGGGTATTCAGCACCCCTGAGGCCTGAATCATTCTGGCAACCTGTGTACGATCTGCCCTTCCAAGGGTTTCCATTGACTCGCTCAGCCCTTGAGCCATATCACTTTGGGGGAGGGGATGTAGGCCCAGGGTCAGTCTGCTCACATAGTCACTGACACCCCCGACACCACATCCACACAACAACATCACATACAACGATGTCACCATAGCTGTCAACTTCATTCTGTACGAACAAACATCTAACGGAGACCTTGTTCGCTGCTTTCTGCTATCAACGAGAGGTGATACGCGATCAGCAATCACAGTAGATCTATTTGTTATCTGGTATCCCCACGTAGTCCAAGTATACTGTGTATGGGTGTTGAACAATCCACAATACTTCTGTACGTGGTAGTTATTATTTTGTGTAAGTGAGTACACCTGCCCTACAATCACCGTGACATGAACACGACGCATGCAACACTGACGAGTCCTCTTTCATAACAGCTAGGGGTCCGCATTTAGAGGGGCTACACCGATGTCCATTCGATCCTGTGTCAACAACTCAAGATAGATCTGTGATTACTCATTTACTTAATTTGTCCATGACTTATGAATAGCCCATATGAAAATTCATAATCAAAATATCGTAATTGGATATATAATTATGTTTTAAGTAACAGAAAGTGAATAAAATATTAAGAAATAATATTCAAGGCGCAAGAAATTGAAGAGTTACGTCCCCTACTTCGACTGCAAACGGACTGCATGTGATTGCAGGTGAGGGTGCCAACCGCCCCTCCCCTGAATCCCAAACACCATATAATTTGTCACTCAGTCTCATTTGCTCACTCCTGAATCCCGAATATCACTTGACACAAATGTCACATGCACCTGTCTGTAATCACTCTACAAAGGCAGAATGTCAATAACAGACGAATGGACGTTCCTATGGGTCATAAATGGGTGCGATATCAAGTTAGATTACTGCATGAAAGAATATCTAAAAAAGAAACTATAAAGTAACTCTTTACGTACTTATTATTTCGTTTTAAATGATAAATCTGCATACCAAAATGACATTTGAGACCCGCGTACCACACTGGTGTGTACCCTCTTAATAGACCCCGAATAAACACATATGCCAAGTAAGTTCTCATATATATATATATATATATATATATATATATATATATATATATATATATATATTATAGTTAAATAACATTTAACCACTACAAAACTATGCATAAAGTATATATATTTAGATGTGATGCATTCAAGACCTATCCCATTTATGTCGTCAGCTTGACAAGGTCGTAGGAAAAATTGAAAGTCAGTATTGACGATGAAGGCTATATTTGTGTTGGGCAGTATTGACGGTGGAGGCTATATTTGGTGTGGGCCAGTATTGACGGTGGAGGCTATATTTGTGGTGGGGCAGTATGAACGGTGGAGGCGGTATTTGTTGTGGGGCAGTATTGACGGTGGAGGCTATATTTGTGGTGGGGCAGTATGAACGGTGGAGGCGGTATTTGTTGTGGGGCAGTATTGACGGTAGAGGCTATATTTGTGGTGGAGCAGTATTAACAGTGGAGGCGGTATTTGTGGTGGGGCAGTATTGACGGTGGAGGCGGTATTTGTAGTGGAGGCTGTATTTGTGGTGGGACAGTATTGACGGTGGAGGCGGTATATGTGGTGGGGCAGTATTGACGATGGTGGCGGTATATGTGGTGGGGCAGTATTGACGGTGGAGGCGGTATTTGTGGTGGAGGCGGTATTTGTGGTGGGGGCAGTATTGACGGTGGAGGCGGTATTTGTGGTTGAGGCGGTATTTGTGGTGGGACAGTATTGACGGTGGAGGCGGTATTTGTGGTTGAGGCGGTATTTGTGGTGGGACAGTATTGACGGTGGAGGCGGTATTTGTGGTTGAGGCGGTATTTGTGGTGGGACAGTATTGACGGTGGAGGCGGTATATGTGGGGGGCAGTATTGACGGTGGTGGTATTTGTGGTGGGGCAGTATTGACGGTGGAGGCGGTATATGTGGTGGGACAGTATTGACGGTCGTGGTATTTGTGGTGGGGCAGTATTGACGGCGGAGGCGGTATTTGTAGTGGAGGCGGTATTTGTGGTGGGGCAGTATTGACGGTGGAGGCGGTTTTTGTGTTGGAGGCGGTATTTGTGGTGGAGGCTGTATTTGTGGTGGGTCAGTATTGACGGTGGAGGCGGTATTTGTGGTGGGTCAGTTTTGACGGTGGAGGCGGTATATGTGGGGGGCAGTATTGACGGTGGTGGTATTTGTGGTGGGGCAGTATTGACGGTGGAGGCGGTATATGTGGTGGGACAGTATTGACGGTGGAGGCGGTATTTGTAGTGGAGGCGGTATTTGTGGTGGGGACAGTATTGTCTGTTGGTGCAGAAATGACATAGATAAATAAACCTCCTTTTTTAATGTTCAGGTCACTTGATAAAGCACAGCTGTTTATTGCTGTTGCACAATCCCCAATTCAAATGACACAGCGAGTTCAGAAACTGGGTACACATCCGGGTCATTTTATTGGCCTAGATTGTATTCATTCACGTGTGTCCAAGGATCGCCATTGCACAAGCCTGTGACAGTCCACACTTCCCTCCACCGCTTCCAATATACCCATATAAGGCTGTATAGCAAACCGATATAAAGGTTATACAGCACACTGACATCCAGCCGCGTCATATGCACGTGGAGGTGAGTTTAGGGGTACTCTCAAAAGAACAATATGTAATTAACAGATAATTCAGAGATATACCCCTGCTAGAGATTCTGGTGGATAATTCAGATATACCCCTGCTAGACAGACTGCTGGATAATTCAGATATACCCCTGCTAGAGATTCTGGTGGATAATTCAGATATACCCCTGTTAGAGATTCTGGTGGATAATTCAGATATACCCCTGCTAGAGATTCTGGTGGATAATTCAGATATACCCCTGCTAGACAGACTGCTGGATAATTCAGATATACCCCTGCTAGATATTCTGGTGGATAATTCAGAGATATCCCTGCTAGACAGTCTCGTGGATAATTCAGATATACCCCTGCTAGAGATTCTGGTGGATAATTCAGATATACCCCTGCTAGACAGACTGCTGGATAATTCAGATATACCCCTGCTAGAGATTCTGGTGGATAATTCAGATATACCCCTGCTAGACAGACTGCTGGATAATTCAGATATACCCCTGCTAGAGATTCTGGTGGATAATTCAGATATACCCCTGCTAGACAGACTGCTGGATAATTCAGATATACCCCTGCTAGAGATTCTGGTGGATAATTCAGATATACCCCTGCTAGAGATTCTGGTGGATAATTCAGATATACACATGCTAGACAGTCTGCTGGATAATTCAGATATACCCCTGCTAGAGATTCTGGTGGATAATTCAGATATACCCCTGCTAGACAGACTGCTGGATAATTCAGATATACCCCTGCTAGACATTCTGCTGGATAATTCAGATATACCCCTGCTAGACAGTCTGCTGGATTATTCAGATATACCCCTGCTAGACATTCTGCTGGATAATTCAGATATACCCCTGCTACAACAGTCTGCTGAATAATTCAGCTATACCCCTGCTAGAGATTCTGGTGGATAATTCAGATATATCTCTGCTAGAGATTCTGGTTGATAATTCAGATATACCCATGCTAGATATTTTGTTGGATAATTCAGATATACCCCTGCTAGATATTCAGGTGGATAATTCAGAGATACCCCTGCTAGACAGTCTCGTGGATATATCCCTGCTAGACAGACTAGGCGTGCAATATAACGGGACGAGCCTGACCTGAAATCTAGTACACTATATATGTACAGTCTGGTGGATGATACAGATATATCCCTGCTAGACAGACTAGGCGTGCAATATAACGGGACGAGCCTGACCTGAAATCTAGTACACTATATATGTACAGTATGGTGGATGATGCAGATATGTCCCTGCTAGACAGACTAGGCGTGCAATATAACGGGACGAACCTGACCTGAAATCTAGTACACTATATATGTACAGTCTGATGGATGATGCAGATATGTCCCTGCTAGAGAAGCAAGACATACATAATGACGGGACGAACCTAGCCTGTAGTCTGTATCTGGGCCAGGTGTTTATCGAGTAGGGTGCAATAATAGGATAGTATGTAACAACGCTACCAGAGGACTGCACCGTGTACAACAAACTGCGACCTAGCTCAATAGGATAATGCCCGCACCGAATACACGTTACAAAACTATCAATGTGAATACTGCAGCCGGTGTTCTAGTGAGAGATATTCAAGTTGATGCGTGATATGGAACTACTCGTACAATCATATCCCAGCCTAGCATACAGAGGGGAGTGTTAACCACACATGAGGGTGCCACCCCACTCCTATGAATCCTGAATGCCATATACGTTTTCACCTTGAGCGTCATTTCTCACCTCTGAATCCTGAAGCCTACCTAGCACAAATCTCAAAAGCATTAAAAGAAAAGTACGATTTGAAGTTGAATTAATGAACAAAATCGAAGCAATAAAATATGTTCAGATAACTTTAATGTACACCATTAATTTGTTTAAATGTTGAATTTGCGTACCAAATACGATAATATTTGCCATTCGAGTACCACACTGCTGAGTCTCGAATATATGCCCCCGAATCCCACGTAAAACACTGTGAATATACTGTAAATAGACCCCTCAATCCCACGTACCACACTGTGAATATACTCTGAATAGACCCCTGAGTCCCGCGTACCACACTGTGAATATACGCTATATAGATCACTGGATCCCACGTACCACACAGAGAATATACTCTAAATAGACCCCTGAATCCCATGTACCACACTGCGAGTATACTCTGAATAGACCCCTGAATCCCACGTACCACACTGTGAATATACTCTGAATAGACCCCTGAATCCCACGTACCACACTGTGAATATACGCTATATAGATCACTGGATCCCACGTACCACACAGAGAATATACTCTAAATAGACCCCTGAATCCCATGTACCACACTGTGAATATACTCTAAATAGACCCCTGAATCCCACGTACCACACTGTGAATATACTCTGAAAAGACCCCTGAATCCCACGTACCACACTGTGAATATACTCTGAATAGACCCCTGAATCCCACGTACCACACAGAGAATATACTCTGAATAGACCTCTGAATCCCGCGTACCATACTGTGAATATACTCTGAATAGACCCCTGAATCCCACGCACCACACTGCGAGTATACTCTGAATAGACCCCTGAATCCCGCGTACCATACTGTGAATATACTCTGAATAGACCCATGAATCCCGCGTACAACACTGTGAATATACTCTAAATAGACCCCTGAATCCCGCGTACAACGCTGCGAATATACTCTAAATAGACCCCTGAATCCCGCGTACAGCACTGTGAATATACTCTGAATAGACCCCTGAATCCCACGTACCACACTGCGAGTATACTCTGAATAGACCCCTGAATCCCACGTACCA